ACCCAACCATCCATCCATCCATCCACTCCATCCACTCCATCCACTCCATCCACCCAATCAACCTCTGATATGTAGGTGTGTTTGCCCCGGTCTGCCTCGTCGTCTACCTGGGTCAATGGAGTGTTCGATGGTGCTAACGCCGTGTGGCCGCGGTGGACGCACTCGTCTTCGTCGGCGAGAAACACTCTGTCAGAGGTATACAGGTGACACACATGGGGGGTATTGGATATGTGCGTGTGTCGTGAGGTGGCTGCTTCTTACCTCAGTTGATTTTCCAGCGAGTGAGCTCTACGACGGCACCACAGACTTGCGGCACATACCTGCATCGACGGAAAACCAAGGGCAAGGCAATCCAGCACAGGAAGATGGAACGCTGTCCGTGTGCATCGTGTATACGTGTTCACTGGCCCCGTGTGTGACCACTCACCGCGTCAGGCATGCCGATGGCGGCGAGTGCGCAGACGCCCAACGACCTGCACACATCCATCCATCCATCCATCCGTCCATCCATCCATGTATACGAAGTGAGTACCCCTCCTCCCTGTGTCGTTAGGGTTAGGGTTCAGAGGCGCCGGATGCGATAGGAGTCGACCAGCCTTCTGCTTCGGAGGAAACCCCAAACCCCCGAAACCCTAAACCATACAGAGTTTGGTGTAGTTCTTTCGTTCTGCTCGTCAAGTCGTTCTGTCCCTCATCGCACACACACAACGTGCGTCTGTTGACTCGCCAACCTTTCCTCCAACCCCAATCAACCCCCGATTTTGGAGCACAGATCACGAGACAGAGAGAACCAAGCCATAGATGACGGAGCCACCGGCTGCCGCAGCCGCTGCCGCTGCTTCTGGTGGTGGCGGCCAGCCAGGCGCGTCGGCAGCCTTCAAGAACATTCGGGCGTTCGGACGCAACGAACCGGTACGCAGCGCACGCAGACAGACAGAGAGAAAGATAGGCGCGGTGCGCACGGACGGGATGCAGTCAAGGAAGAAGGGCGGCGAGAGCAGCAAACGGGAGGGGAGGGGAGGGGAGGGAGGGAGGGAGGCATCTCGCCTCCTGAATCCGTCCATCGGTGGTGTTTTGTGCGCGCGTGAGCCGTGCCCGTTGCGAATTGTGTGTTGTGTGTCAACCTTGCTTGTGCTGTGTCAGGGTCAGTTCAAGATGACTGAGACCATCTTTGGGTGGCGTCGTGCTGGCGCCGAGAAGCACGTCCACACGTACAAGCCGAACGAGGTGGAGAAGGTCGAGATCATGCGCACGAGCAGAGACTCATGGCAGCTCAAACTCAGCATGACGACCGGCGACGTCAACCGATTCGACGGATTCAAAGAATCGGTGAGGGAGGAACAGGATGGGCTGGTGGGTTGGTGCGTGAGGGGGCAGCTCATGACGTGTGGTGTACATGTGGTGTGTCAGGATGCTGAGAAGCTGGCGAATCACTTCCGTGAGTATTTCAAGATTGACCCCAAAATCGTCCGCATTGGCACACGCGGATGGCACTGGGGCAACTACACCTTCGAAGGCACGTCATGCCAACACAGAGCACACACAGAGGAGAGAGATAGCGCACACGCCATACACGCAATGCAACACACATCAATCAGCCACCACGATATATGGATTTGTCTGTGCGTGATCGCAGGCAAGAATTTCATCTTCGACGTCGACGGCAAGCCTGCCTTCGACCTGCACGCCGCCGACATGGCGCAGGTGACCAACCCATCCAAAAACGACATCGCAATCGAGTTCCACCAGGACGACAGCAGGTGGGTGGGTATATCAATCAATATACTTATACACACATGCGCGCCCACAATATAGCTCACCTGCATCGCGCGCTGTACATGAACCCCTGTCTGTCTGTCTGTCTCAGGGATCAGCTCGACGATCAGTTGCTGGAGGTGCGCTTCTACATCCCGCCGAGGGCCATCGAGGCCGCGGGAGAGGCGCGGGACATCGCCACGGAGCTCAGAAACGTACACACTCATGAAACCCACACCCACCCTCCCACACGTGCACTCATTGACCTCTCTCTGGATGGCTGGATGGCTGTATGTCGTTGTGTAGGTGCTGGTTGAGAAAGCTGGTGTGTCGACGACGGGCTTGCAGCCGGTGGCGTCGCTCGCCGACGTGCCCTTCCTGGTGCCGCGCGGCAAGTACGACATCGACCTGTTCAAGACGTCCATGAAGCTGCACGGCAAGTCATTCGACTACACCGTCAGATACAAAACCATCAACAGGTCTGTCTGTCTACCTGCCGGCACGCACACACGCCCATCCTCACAAGCACTCACGCATGTGTTGTCCTGTGTGCTGGGTGTCCTGTAATACGTTCAGGTTCTTTCTGTTGCCGCGTGCGGACGGCATTCACGTGGCGGTCATCATAGCGCTAGACGTGCCGATGCGCCAGGGCCAGACGAGGTACCCCTTTGTCGTCATGAACTTCCCCTCCGACCACACCATCACCCTGGACGTCAACCTGACCGACGAGGAACTCAACTCCGACAGATTTGCAAAGCAGAAACTAGAGGCCAACATGACCGGTAGGCGCACACGAAGGCAGAGGGCCAGATGGATGGATGGGCAGATAGAGGGCAGGGGTGCTGTTTGTTTGTTTGTTTGTTTGTTTGTGGGGGCGCAGGTCGCATGTATGACGTGTTGACGCGTTTGGTAAAGGGATTGACTGAGAAGCCGGCCATCATGCCCTCGCAGAAGTTCAAGAGCGCCATATCTGACACATCGGTCGGTGGATGGGGGGGTGGGTCACATGACACACGACACTCCCTTCTCTCTCCCTCTCTCTGTGTTCTCACATGCATGCAGTGCATCGCGTGCAGCAACAAGGCTGCGGCGGGCCATCTGTACCCTTTGCAGCGCGGCTTCATCTTCATCCCAAAACCCGTCATATACATTCGGTATGGTCGGCCGATTGGGGCACCCGCACAGATGGATACGTGTCCATTCGTCCTCTCTGCCACTTTCTTTGTTCTTCTTTTCTGTCTGCCTCTCACCCGTCATGTGCCCGTCAGGTATGAGGACGTCTTGTCAGTGGAGTTTTCCCGCACCGTCGGATCGCAGACCAAATACTTTGAGTTCAAAGTACATACACACAAATCCAATCGAGGAGCTGCGTCGATGTGTACCAACGTATGTGTGCGTGGCTCTGGCATGTGTCGCATATATATGTCAGGTGTACGTCAAGGGCGGTGATGAGCATCTCTTCTCGTCCGTCGACCGACACGAATACACCGTACGTACGCACATACATGGATCGTACGAACCATTTACGTACGCAGCCACGCTCACAGACGCTATGCGGTGCGGTGTTTGTGTGAGTTCAGGCGCTGGTTGCTTTCATCCAGAACGAGGCCAAACTCAACATCAAGAACCTGCAGCAGGTGCCTGCCTTTGGACCATGGAGCCATCACGCAAGCATGCATTCCATTATGTGCGGATGTTGTGTGCAGACGAAGGAGTCCAAGGCCAAGGACAATGCCGACGTATTTGCTGGAGGTACCGTACCCCTCCCCCTCCCTCCGCAAACCAACACCCCCTCCCTCCGCAAACCAACACACATACGTCTGCCCGTCTGCCCGTCTGGCTCTCCATATTGTCAATCAGATCTGCCGTCCGATGAGGACGATGACGAGGACTATGAAGACATGGATGACGGTCAGTCAGTCGATGGACTGAGGGAGGCACGCCGCTTGCCTCCCCACATAGGCCCATACGTCAAAACACGCCACAACACGGGGCATGACAACACCCACATCTATGGTGTGACATTACTTCTGTCTGCAGAGGACTCTGAGGACGAAGAGTACGCCGACGAGGACGATGATGACGACGATGACGAGGAGCGACCCAAGAAGAAACACAAGGTAGGAATGGAATGCAGTCAGGTGCCCTTCGTATGAAAGACGGGCAAACACCTCACTCACGTGTGGTCCTCCTGTGTGTCCATCTTCTGGCCGGAATGTCGATCAGTCGTCTGGCGGTGACGACAAGAAGGAGAAAAAGAAAAAGGACAAAAAGGAGAAGAAGAAAAAACACAAAGACAAGCACAAAGACAAGGTAGGTAGCTCCGCCAGTCAGTCAGTCCGTTGGTCACTCCTTCCCCCGGCACACGCGTGTTAGCCTGGTTCATCCTACCTGTGTCGGTGTCGGTGTGTGTTATCCATTCGCTCACGATCAGGAGAAGAAGGACAAAAAGAAGACGCGCGAGTCCCAGGACCAGGACGAGGAAATGAGGGAGGAAGACGACTGACTGAATGCGCATGTAGCTCTGTACGGGATTGAGGCGGCATCGTGACTGATTTATTGAATGGTTAACACCTTCGCTGCATGTATGTACAGAGAGAGCGAGCCGCTGCGGCCGAGGATGGACCGTGTGTGGACGCGCATGGGCCGATCTGTGTCGCCGAGCAGACAGACGGGACAGACGGATGCGTGCGTCTATGCTTCATGATTCTGTCCAGGATGCGCGTACGTCCGATCATCCTTATATATCATTAGGGCCAACAGTTGGGGGACGCCTGTCTACCAAAAGACGTCCTGTCTTCTCCGCCTGCCATCAGCTCTCGCAAACCGTGCGTGATATCTCCAAGGCCCCATCGCTGAGAGAAGTCTTCAGCTGTGAAATGACGCCGGTCAGTTCCGTGGCGGCGCTGAACGTCATGGGCGGGGACTCAGGATGAAGCACATTCCACCTGGTCCAGGTGACAAGACGCCACGCGCAGCATGGGCTAGCGCCGTTCCATAGATCGAATTTACGTTTGTACGTGGTGCGAGCTGACTGTTGGAGTTTTCAGTGTGTGTGACATGTTTGTCATGGTCGTGCTTGGTCTGCTGGCCCTGCTCGGCCTGCTGGACCCGGTATCAGCATGGTACGAGGCCGTCAAGATGCCCGAGGAGCCGCCGATGAGCGACGGAGCAGCAAGCAGTGTGGACGGCGGTTTTCTGGAGCATGGGAGGGAGCTCCAGGGCATCGGCAAGGGCGACGGCAGCGCCTTGGGAGTCCTTCAGGCTGCATCGGTAAGTGAGAAGCCACGGGATGATCCTGCATCAATGGCCTGATCAAATGAGTTTGGTTGTTTGCGGCTGTGTGTTGCTGCCTGCAGGGCGTTGGTCAGATGGTTGCCGGCGCCATCCCTGGGCCGTCACAGAGCGTCGTGGCGCCAATCCTGGGTGAGAAATGCATCTGACAAGGAAGCCGACTGCGAGAGCACCAACCACAGATCCGGCGTGTCACGTATGATCAGGTGCTGTGAATCAGTTCGCCAAGTCGCGCAATCCCAATCCCAGTGGCCCTTCGATGGGCGGCTTGGGCGCAGGTGGAGGTGGAGGGGGAGGACTCTTCGGCAACAGACAGGCAGGCGCAGCACACCAACCGACCACAATGCACGCATCCATCCACTCACTTGGAGATTGGAGGCAACTCTATCTCTGTCTGCCTGTGTTCCTGCACGTGTGAATCCAAACATCAATCAACCGCGCCAGCCTACCGAGCCGTCCATCGAGGGCTTCGAGCCCACCAGCGCAGGAAGGACGCCGTCATCGTCACGAAGACGGCCCAATGTAGAAGCTATGCAGGTAGGTGCGGTGCAGTGCGACAGATAGCCATGATTTTTGACACAATTTCGATGTGAGTGTTACTGGGTCATACGTGTCATGCAGGCGCGCGGTGGCGCGTCTGACCTGCCGATGGGCTCAGCCGACATAGGGGGTGGCAGCGGGAGTAGGGGGGGTCCTTTCGGCGGCCTGGGGCCGCCCTCTGGCGGCTTTGCTGAAGCCCTTCAGAACCGCCCCGGCACTGGCAACGCACCACGATCGCAGCAAAATACATGGTACCTTCTTGTCATGTCGGTGTATGGCTATTTGTTGGCTGACTGGCACTGCTGTCCGTGTGTAGGTGTAATGACCCTCTTGAGGTGCGTTGCCGGCAGGGCAACCCCCACATGAACTCGGACTACAGACCACTCAGCGAAACCGTGTTCGGCGACTTGGCTCGCGCTAGAGGCAGAGAGGGCCCCGTGGCACAAGGGTGAGGACATGCGCACACATCCTTCCTTTCTGTATGCTGTACGTCTGTTGGTGCATGTGTTGGTGTCACTCAGGGGCGGAGGTCCGTTCAGCAGTCGCCGTACAGGGACCGCGCCTACCATCTCCGACGAAGAGCTCCGCGACGCCACGTTCATCACTGCGGACCAGATCGGGCCGGACGGATCGGTACATTCCCCTCCTTCCCCCTGCACCCATATACACGTATGTCTGCATCGTTGTCGATCGGTTGGCAGATTTTGCTGAGTGACGAAGAGCTTGACGACGTGGCGATGAGTATGGGCGCCGACGACGGTGACGCAGAAGGCGGGGAAGACGGCGAGAGGGAGAAGAGGGGGCCGCCGCCACGAGAGAAGAGGAAGAAGGCACAGAAGGAAAAAAAGGACAAGAGCGAGCGGACCAGGGACGTTGACCCAGACTTGCAAGCACACGTGGCAGCCGACGACGGTGCGCACGACAGTGACAGATGTATCTATGCATGTCTGATGTCTTGTGTGTGTTGTGTGGTGCGTGTCCCGGGCAGACGAAGAGGAAACCATGAGCCCGAAAGAGAGGCGCCAGCAGAGGAAGAAACGGCAGAGGGAGGAGGCGAACAACGACGACGACGAAGGCAAGCAGGCTGAGATGCTGCAGGTATGTAGGTGCATGGGAATGACCCACCCATCATCCCACACGCCTCGCACTCCGTCTGCCCGCGTTTCCACAGGCAAGTGACGACCAGACCATGGAGGAGCCGGTTGCGGACGCACAGGGCGACGAGGCAGCGGACGGCGGCCGCCCGCCACCCCCGGCACCAATCGCACCCAAGTCGGACGAGGACGCCCAGAAGGGGCAGGAAAAGCAATCTGCTGCGGAGGATACAGAGGAAGAAATTGACTTGACCGACGACGAGACGGCCGATGAGCAAATGTGAGGACTGGGGAAGATGGCAATCGTTGACACCGTCAATGGCATGGCAGCATACATGGATATACACATGTGTGTGTGTGTGTGTGGTGTCATTTTGAATGAAGGCCGCCAGCTGGGAGTGCGGTGTCCATCGGTGGCGAAGCACAGATCCCCGAGGATGCGACGCCACCCCCATCAGAGTCCATCCTGCCCGCCAACCTCAAGCTCGGTGGGTGACCATATCAAGCACACGTGCATGAAAGTGTGGGCTTGTCATGCTCACTGTTTCTCCGTGGTGCCCACATTCAGGTCCTGGCGGCCATGAGAGCACCATGCAGCGCGACAGTCACGACGAGATCGCCAAGGCACTCGGCGTCTCCAATGATGACATAAAAAAGCCCGGCAGCAGCTCGTGTAAGCACCCACCCACCTACTTGCCCGCAAGCGTGCATCTGAGTATCTGTCTGTCTGCGTGTGGTTGTGCTGTGTTGGATGGGTGCCGTGCAATGCAGCCTCTAGTACCAACAAGCTGAATCGTCCATCCAGTCCCAGCACAAGTCGGGCAGGATCGAGCACCGGCAGCCAATACAGGACCGTCCCCATGCCGGACTGGACGCTTCAACGGGGAAACCACAAGTGAGTCAGCCCAGCTTGTGGGATGAGCAGCTGAGTTGGGCCGTTGATGGATGGGTGGATGGCGGCAGAAGAGACAGCATGCTCGCCCCCCCTGCCTCCTAAAATGGTGGCGACGGGGGCTGGCGAGCGAACGTGGCTGCTCCGTGATAATTTGATATATGGGAGCGGGAGTGTGGGTGTGAATCTTGTACAGCGGGAGTGAGTCTGTCTGCCTGTCTGTGTATGTGTGTATGTGTGTATGTATGTATGTTTATGTGGATGTGATTCTACATGTGCCTGTCGTCCTGCTTGCGACATAAATGAATCGACGACCCGACGATACGTCCTGGGTCCTGGGTACGGCCTTGAGTACATGCAGCATTGTGAAATGCCGACACACGCAACGTGTGTGTCCGTGAATCCCGGTGAACCCCACGGCATTCAAGGAGAAAGAGGCCCTTTTAAAAGAAGTGAGGGGAGACACATGTGATGGCTCGTGTCCTGCCTCCAGCTTCTGATACACTTTTCACTTCATCGGCTCTGCTTCACCTTATGTGAAAGTAACACCTGGTGTCAAAGCGACCAGCCCAGTACTGGGTTACAGAGGCGTGAAGCGATGACGCCGCAAGACTCGTATGGCTTCATTGAGCAGACGCCTGGCGTGAGCACCATGTCACGTGTGCTTCTACAGCACCGGCGCGCCCGCCCGTCTGCGCCGCTTCTCCACAGCACAGACATTCCGACCCAGGTGAGACAGACAGACACCTGAGCGTATGGATGTCCCTTTGTACGCGGCTGTGCACGTGCGTGGCAGGTGGGTGCAGTCACGGACAGCTACAAAGCCAGCCGACTTGCACGGCTTCTCGCCTGTCAGACAGTACGCGTGCACGATGTGTTCGTACGTGTGTTCAGTGTGCATCCTTCTTTCCTCTCTCTCTCTCTCTGTGTGTGTGTGTGTGTGTGCGCCTGTCTGTGAGTGAGTCAGGTTGCTGACGTCGACAAGTTGGCTGCACAACATGGCGAAGACATGGTCACCGAGGTACACCACACCACACCACGGAACAAAGTGCACGCTGGCTGCAACGAACGATCGATCAGAAGCGCCGCTGGCAATTGATTTTGCGCGAGAAGGAGCGTGATCTTCTAGAGGGCCAGGCGCCTGTGGTGCAGACGCAGGTGACGGGTTTGTTGAGGCGAGTGAGTGCGTCCAACGGATGGAGGAAATCTGGGCTGACGACGATATGTCAGAACGGTAATCAACCAAGTAGATAGAGCGGGGACAGATGAATAATGACAGACAGACAGACAGACAGACAGACAGAAAAGACAGGATGCATGTGTGCATGCCTGAGTGTGCAGGATGAAGCGTTCCGAGTGTCGTCGATTGATGAAGTGGGTCTATCACCTCAAAGACCAGGAAAACAGGTGCCTCGAAACGGGTGAGTCGACACGCCAATCACTTGTTGTTTGCCTGTTCGACGACACCTGTTTGTGACTATGCGTGTATGCCTCGACAGCCATGCGGCTGATTCAGCCACACCCGCCACTCGTCAAGTGAAGCAACTAACTACACGGCCGCCGTTTAGCCCGTCCGTGCAGCACACGATAGATAAACAGCGCTCCTCTTTTTGATAGACTTACAACAGGTGTGTGTAGTGTAGTATATTGTGACTCTTCCTTCCTTTAGTAGCTAGCTGGGTGTGGACCAGTTCTGTTCGGACGGTCGAAGCAATTGATGCTGATCGTTTCATGAGCAACTGTCACGCTTCCTTAAGTTGCCATGCTTGTATGTGTGTACAGAGAACTAATCGGACGCGACAACACCAGCCAGCGCAGGTACTTGGTTCGGCGGGACCGTGAAGATGTTTTTTTAAATTGTTTTCACACAACACACCAAACATTCACTCTCGCTATTGCTGTGTGTGCTGGCAATAATGCATCCATGATTAGCGGCTCAGGTGGCATGGCCGATGTGCTGGCTGTGTTTTGATTTCGGTTTTGACGGCACAGCCGAAGCAGGAAAACTGCCTGATCACAGCGGGAAAGGATTTGGAGAATGGCGCCAGGCGCTGGGGCAAATGCATCACGAAGGAGGCCGTTGACTGTGGCCTCTGTGTCGTCCTGAACGACAAAAAGACATAGGACCACCGATGACCCTCATGCAGCCCTCATGCGATGGGTGTGTGTAGAGCTCCTACGTGGCTAGCTTACTTCTCCGTGTGTGCCACCGGCTTGCACGAAATACTGAAGCTTGGTCCACTCACCTGACAAATAGACGGAGCACACATCCATCCCCATGGAGGAGAACATAGCTTTCCCAAAGAGCATCGTCAACCATTGGAGCCAGCATCTGTCCGTCGAGCTTATGAAGCACAACAACACCTTCTCACGAAAAACCGAGTCGAGAATGGCCAGGAAGTGATTGGATGAGTGAATGAATGAATGAATGAGGGAAGAATGATATGAATATTGACGCATGAGGGCAGCAGCTTGCAGTCACGGCAGTGTGGCTCACTGACCAATCAACCGCCCGACCGATGCAGACAAACAAAGCAAACATGCGTGCTGTGTTACCTCTCCATGAATCATTACAAGGAATGGGATGCATGTGCTCCAACAGTCCATGGCACTCACACCCACATGCAGAATGAATGAATGGATGACATGCATCACCAAGTCTCAATCGCACAGTGATGTGAGACTTGGTGGCGTAAGGTGGGTCCTGAATGTGTGTGTCGAGTTTCATGTCTCACGCTTGTTTGCAGTGTTTTAGCAGTCAACGAACGTTGTCCATGTTTCTGCCTGCATGTTTCTGCGATTCCAGGCTGCCGGTGTCGACGAGGGCAGTGAGGCATCCGCATGCATCAGGGCCAGGCGGCGAGCTGTAGCGAGCGCCGCCGTCCTTCTGCATGTGAAGCGCCTGATAGGTCCTTGAGTCCACCATTCACACACACTGTAGAATTTCAAGTGAATGAGAATTTGTCTGAACTACTGAACTACGTAGTCAGACACCTACACAACTGCCTTTTGCAGACCAAACCAACCTCTCCACATCTACCATCTACTATCTACACAGTGGCTGTCTACATCTAGGCCTTTGTGTCTTTGAGGACTGACCGCAGCAGTTGCGGAACCTTCTCTGTGAGTATTGTTGCCATGTTCCCTCCCTCTTCACCGAAATGATTCTGGGCCAAGCTCCTCCCGAAGCCCACGAGGACACTCGACAGCGTGTCCTGGAAGGCAGGGAAGGCATTGTCTTTGGCCATGTCCGCCTCCGCAAGTCCGATCATGGTGCTCTTGATCTGCTCGCTCGCGTGGCCGGCGAGGCCATCGGG